TTGCTGTCCAATAGGAAGTCCAAATTTCAAATACCGCCCAAGCTACAGTTTGAGCATCAATACTTCCTAAAGGAGTCGCCTCCCATCACTTTATCAAGTGGGTTTCCCATAAAGAACCAATAATGTCATCCTCAATATCTATTTTGGGTGACATAGTTTTCTATTTACCAAGAGTGTACACGGCCTGTCATTTGTATTCTTAGTCATTTGACAGACATTACAAGCTCCGACGTAATTCCGCAAGTCTTTTTTTGTTTTGACCTCGAACATCTACGTTTGACTGCCGCTGTGCCCCAAAACTTCACGATCTTTATCCAAGACACCACCGACCATAGACTATGGAACTGCTAGTTGTCTCAAACTGCATAAAACAATAAAGGAAATATATTACTCCATTCATCAATGCTACGAATTTTCATATGGACCATAGACATCTAACTTCGCAACTCACACCTTAAATTTCTTCTGAATATGGTCGAGGACTCTGGTTTTTCAAAGCGTTATACACTGATCAAGTTTCTGAATGTATTGCCTAAATATGAGTCCATCCAACATCCCATAATTTGCAGTTCTGTCGTATTATTTTTGGGTGTGACGCAAAAAGGGTAATTTCCATGGGATTTAGCGGCTCTAAGTGATATGTTGCCAGCATTCTGGTTCTGTTTACCGAGTCTGTGGATACATTCGCAGTCATATTCTCGTACGCGCTCTTGCCATAGGTCAATTTGTCCTTCGGGATCTCTGACATCTTTATGATCAGTTCTAATAACAAACTTCTCAATAAATAATGGCCGCATTAGTGCACAAGGTAAACGACTTTTAGCATCTCTCTGCATGTTGCACAATAATTTATTTCCGATATATGTAGCATTCAGCTTCCATACGCGATAACACTTTTTTCCCATCCAAAAAACCTTGTGATAATAAAGAACTGATAGCTTGGTCAGTGTCTGAGGCAAAACAATCAACAGTGAGAGAACAATCTGGATATGCTAAAATTGGTGTCAAACGCAAAAGCCCTTTCAACCGGTCGAAGGATTGCTGGCACTTATCATCCTATTCAAAGTTAACATCCTTTCCTAGCAAGTTATGAAGTGGAGCTGGAATCTCCGAAAATCCTCGGATAAACCTGTAATAAGTTGCTAGGAAGCTGCGGAGTACATGTGGTGTTTGAATGAATTAATGACTCCTTTGTACCTGTTGAATGTTTGATTTCGAATTCTAAATACAGTACATTCGTTAGTGCTTGTGTAGTACTTCTTGATTCAATTGCGTTATCCCTGGGATTCTTAGTTCATACTGTAATTCAATTACTTCTAATTATCATATTGTCGTCGCCATGGGGCCTGCAATGGAACAGTTAGATATTCATTCAACTTCTGAAGCTTTTGAAGACTATTTGAAAATGTTTGAAATCTGGAGCATGACCAAGAAAGATGATGAAAATATTAATATTGTGGCTTATTTTCTCACATTTATCGGAAAACAAGCATATGGCTTATTAAAAATTTTGGCTTCACCGGAAAGCCCATTTCTCTTCCTTATACAACTCTCAAGGAACTACTTCTAGACTATGCAAAATATAAAAATTTCGAATGCTATAAAGGGAGATTTCGTAAAATAATTCATGAGAATATAAAAAATTCCACTACATTACGTCACCCCATCCCAGTGCATACTCAAGGTTGTGCAGTTCACGAAGATGGGCACAAGTTTAGTCAATGTTTTTCTTGTGGCAAGTTCCACCATTTTTAATTCATGTAAATTTCGTAATTGTAAGTGCTTTAAATGTGGTGATGTCGGACATATTCAGTCAGTTTGTAATACTACTGTTCATCTTGCTGCAACTAATATTAAATCTTTTGATTCTGATCCTATTAATTTGAATATTTATAATGATCATTTATCTTTATCAACGATTTTAAAAGACAGTTTAGAGTCATATAAATGAAACTCAGAATCCTTGCGAGAAAACAATTTCTAATGAATCAACATATCAGATTTCTCGTGTTATTGTACCAGATATGATTTCTCCTAATGATTCACATATTTCTGATGAAATTTCTTACAAATCTGGTGAAAATATTTCGGATGAACCTAATCATGATCGAAAATCTGATGTAGTTTTAATTGATGCTAATTTTTGTAATGATCCTTAACTCTGCAATGACATTCCTGATAAATTTGAGGAAACTATTTCAGAAGAATCAAATCTTGATGTCATATCAAATATTATTTGTCCTCGTGATACATTTGTTTCTTGTGAGAAATTTGTTTGATGCGAAGCACGAGTATTAAATGAGTTAGAGTTTGATGACAATTCAGATAATTCCATATCAACTATTGTTTGCCCTTATCATAAATTCGCTTCCAATGTTTACTCTAGTCGAATTGAGAAAGATGTTTTAAATGAAGCCACATTATTCGTAGCTTGGGGATATGAAGATCCGACGTTATTTCGTGGAGGAGGACCGTCTGAAAGTCTGTGGTTCAAATTCTAGGTAGCAGTACTTTCAGTACTCCATCGACATGATGATTTTTCACAATCCCAGAAATCAAGGGAGTCTGTTCCGATTTCCGTAGTTAATTCTAATACTAATGAGTGCATCCTAGATAATACAGAGTCTTTTCCAATACACTGTCGGACAGACACAGGATGAACTTAAGAAGAAGACGTGCAATCAATTACAGACACGTGAACTCCAATTTAAGCTGTGGCGGATATGGTGTTTGAATGAACTAATGACTCCTTTGTACTTGTTGAATGTTTGATTTCGAATTCTAAATACAGTACATTCGTCAGTGCTTGTGTAGTACTTCTTGATTCAATTGCGTTATCCCTGGGATTCTTAGTTCATACTATAATTCAATTACTTCTAATTATCATAGTACATTAGCATTTTGTAGGACAACCTAGTTTCGGATGACATCGGCGTTTTCGCTAATTGAGTGTATTTCTTGTTCATCAACGACGAACCCCAATAATTTAACTTGCTTATTGAACATGCTAGATTTTGACTGTTGTACTTTTAAACCAAATTTTTGAAGGCATCACAAAACTATTTGTAAATTTTCTAAATTCTCTGTACTGTTTCATCATCAAGATACACCAAACAAGCATGTAGCACTAACCCAGACAATGTTGCATGCACTAGTCGTTGAAAAGTAGAAGTCTCATTAGTTATTCCAAAATTCGTTGTTTAGAATTCATATGAACCTAGTGGTTTTGTGAAAACCGTCTTGTGTCGGTCACCTGAAAGTACTTCAACTTGCCAATAGTGAGGTGCTAGATCTAGTGTTAAGAACCATTTCGGAACGGCATTCTACGCTCAAACCCAACAAAATAGCAACTGGGCGATTCAATAACTCTCCACACAGTGTTAGGGTGAAAGGTCCATAATCATATGTCAAACCTTGGATTGTTCTTGCACCATGTCACATACTTGTTGCCCAATTTACAGTATGAGCATTTATCACTTATTTAGTGAAAGTTTGCTTTCTGAGCAATTCTAACAAGAGCAGATCGCCTATAAAACTTGTTACTACCATGACAATCTAACTCCTCGAACCCCGAAATCATGGATACATGCTCTTCCAAAATTGCCACCTCACGAACAGCTTTTCAGCTTTCTGGAGCATGTTTTATAAACCCGGGCATAATGAAACGTTTCTTAGCAAATTAGGATGTTCTGAAGGACGAAATACTATACGCATTTCATTAAAAAGACTATTTATCACTGTTGTCGGCAGAATCTCAATAACTGAATGTTTTACGTTCTTTAATGCAGGATACCTAGTATCCAAGTGTGTTGTCTTCTGGTAAAGTTCATCAAGTATTGAAGACATTCAAGCCCCTAATCCCAAAACGATTCGCCATGACGACATTTTTCAGGTGGTAGCATTTGTGATTCAACCGTTCGCTACTCTTTTTTTGGAACTGATAATATTTCATCTAGTATTTGTTCAGTAGTGTCGGAGTGTTTCACTTCGGTATTAGGTTTCGATTTTACGTTTCGATCTACTTCTTTGTTCTAGGCACACGAACATCGCAAGGCTTTCTATACATACCGAAAGTTTAGTGAGCAACTCAATCAGTTGTCTGTAATTGGTATTTGAGTAGATCCACCGATGAAATGCGTGTATATTATATGCTCAACTAGCTTTTAGGAATCCGCAACTACCCAATTAAACATATTGATCTAATCAATCAATTAACTAATTATTTAAAATCAAAGGTTGTTTCTACTGGTAGATCACTAACGTAGATAATCTGTGTCGAATGATCGGGGGCCTACTCGTGTTACACGGGAATGGTGTAAGCAAATTCTATCTTCGAAGTTACTCCTCATGGTCAGCACCTAACTTGATGGGGGTCGGTGAATCACTGGACAATCAGTGGCTAAACCTCCGTATTATTTGGTTGAGGTTCAGTGACATTTAACTGGCACTTTACATTCTTCATAAGATAAGCCAGAGAAACCTTTTACCACTTAGAGTTTCTCGTATTGTTGAGTACGATGCCAAATATGACTCCTAGATCCTCATAGTCCATCCAGTGATTCCTCGATACCAATTAGATTCAAAAGCAACCAACGCGCTCTAGTTAATCGTAAGCCATGGACTGGCACATGAGGTGGTGGTCACACTTTCGCTTGCATCTACTATAACTAATATATTTCTGCGATAACATCCTTCGTGTTATACTGTCTTCAAAGCAACAATAGTACCTTTATACGACGGAAGGGTAAACCACGTTAGGTGATGACCGTGAGGTGTATATTTGAAGATGACCGATACTTACACCATTCCCGTGCAACTCGAGTAGGCCCCCGATCATTCGACACAAATCATCTGCGTCAGTGAATTACAACATACTACGGCCCTTGAACATATTTCCGTTTTCTCACCACAGATTACAAAATGATCTTATATCAGCTCATCGTACAATAAACGATGACTTTGATATTCATATGTTGCGTCTTTTCCTTCCGTCCAGGACTGATCATTTGAGAGGGCCTTCCAAGAAAGTTTAAAAATGGAGATCATATCACCTAGGTCTGGAGTTCCTTTTCTCGCACCGTGTAATATCAGCACTTTCTGTTGATGTATTCATAAAAGATTGAACCCCCACAGTGTTACAGACTGCAACGATTAATATAGGTCGATAGACCTATCCTAACTACTGAAGACTGAAATCAACCTTCGGATAAAGCCGCATTATATAAACTCCTGCGTTAAGACGTTAAGACGTACGGGTAACTATACTGATGTTGTGACAACTTTTTGCTATGTTTTGTTCTTCCTACTTCGTGCACAGCCAAAAGTCTAAATTAGTTGTGAACAAATTTGCACTTCTATCTCTGAGAACGCGTGATAAATAACTATTAGTTCCCTACAGGGAACAAAACCTGGGATCACTGGACGGCCGTTTCGTCCTGCTGTGGGACTCCACAGTAGTGCGCGTCCACGGTTCCGCCTTGCAAGGTTCGAACCCAGGGTTCGAGCTTTCTCATGGTGGTCTAGCTTCAATTGGCTCATGATTCCAACTATTAAAATTACTATAATACCCACAAAACCCCTTCTGATAAAAGTCATATTCAATAATGGTGATCCAGGTTCTTACCAATCTTGTTCAAGACCATACTTTTTTTGGCAGCGTAAGCCTTTGGACTTCACCTAACCTCTTTATTCTATTTGAAATTCAATGTATACAAAATTTTAGTAGAAATTTTACTGGTGAAGCACTTATATGTAAGTCATATGATGCCAAAATTACAACATTTGGTCATATGTTTCGAGTACCTTACTGTTCTCATATGATATGGCGACTTGAGCCGGTGCGCATACATGACAGATTCTAGTGTGTTTGTGGCTTACTGATCCTTAGATTGGTTCCAGTTTTTTTTTCGATAAAGATCAGCCATACACTATCACTATCGTTCCATCTCTTAGTAATTCTGTTGTTATCATAACCAATAATTTTAGGCTTTAGATGTCATGGCTCAAAATCGTTTGCCATGGTGCAGGTTTATCCATCTCTGGAATCGTATCTTCGATGACTAGTCTTTTCTATCACCATTGATTCTGTTACTACCTCAAATATTATGGGACTTCACCTAACCATTTCATCCTTCCATGCTAACGGAGTATAGGAACTTGGACCGATGTACATATGTACCAAATTCTACGTTGTCACTGATTAATATTAAGGGTAGTTCTGAATGAATATTACAAAGAGGAGGCCACCGAAAATGTTAGAAGAAATCTCTGTTCGTAGAATGTAGTACATCAATTTCTCTCTTTAAAAGCTGTACTAAATAAAAAAAATCCCAATTACTTAACCACCAAATCATCACTTTGCGGAAATGTTAAATAAAGCAGCAAGTTAGCTGATGCTGTCTCACAACAGTTCATGTCTAAATCCTATAAACGGTTCAGCGTCCAAACTTGTTCGCTTAACACGTGGTTGATAACTCATTTCACTGAAATAACGATTCTCCATAAACTTGCTACTAAAGCAAAGAGTGCGGATCTTAACCTGATATTTGATGACTGGTTTATAGGTTCGTAGGTCTTTGTTACAGAGGATGAATAATTTGCACGCTTTTATTGTAAGCTAGTCTGCAAAGTAAAATATAGTTGGGAATCGGTTGCTCTTTGAATTGAATTCTCTCAAATCTTGTACTCTCATATTAACTGCATTCATTTCAGGTAAATTGTATGCTAGAAATTGTAAACTTGAAAGAACCATATTAACTTGGATTGTCTATGGTAGGTTACTCTTCTTAACATAATCATACTAATTCTAGTGTTCTGTTCTGTGGATTTTTTCTTATTTCGCATTGCTGTTTTACCTATTCATAATTTTGTTTTGCATTACCGTTGGATTGTTTTACGTAACTGAGCTAGTGGAAGAATATATTGTCACTACGGGCAAGATAATACGCTATACGATATATGCAGAGATAGTACTTCATTTCATTCTTCTGATAACGGACGATGTTCCTGTAATACTTGTACTGACTGGATTAGTTTGTCATTGTTTTTACAGTTCAATGTTAAAAACATTTCCGGCTTTCCATTATCAGTCTTTCAGCTTTCTCGGTAGTGCTTTCATGTTAATTATTCACCACTTAGTTGCATTTCGTGCATTTTCATACAACCCAAGTCCATTCTCTTACCTCGTAGCGTATTTTACATTTTTCTTATGGGCCGTTCCTTTCCTTTTTTTAATCTCATTATCAGCAAACGATTTTGTTCTACCACAAACAGTTGAATATCAGTTTTCTGTTGAAAGTGATTATTTATTACAGAGTCAACAGAAAAAACATGATCTAGTTTCTGCATATTTCAAATGTAAAAGAAAGAGCTTGTATACATTTCTTGCTCATTTACGTGAATTCAGCATTCCTTTACGTACCAAAAAGGGCTTCTAACTTTTGGTAATCGGTTTAAAGTTGAGGCTAATTAAATGATACTCTATTTTGGTTTTTCATGAATAATCGAAATCTTGCCTGCATAGTTTTGTTTTGTCTATGTACCTTCATAATCCTATTGCAGTCGTTAACGTTTGTACCTAAGTTCCTGAAAAAGATTTTTTTTTCCATAATGTGTATTTTGACTTACTAAAATAAAATTACCTCAGTTGAGTCCACTATGGCGTATACTTCTTTTAGCTGCTATAGATCCACTGTTCTGTTTTTACTGAACTTCTACTTATCTACTTAAAGTGTATTTACATTATTAGTGGATTGTACTGTAAGTTTGTAAATAATGTGCATTCATGTTCTTATATTTAATGGAAATTATTATAACAAAAAAGTATGTAGCTGAACAAACCTTTTTTGTGCTCTAGGTTATACGAAGCCCCCAAATGCCCTGGTACGGCTGAGAGTGGGGAGAGTCCGCTCTCCCTCTCGAAATGCTCTCACATGGCCATGCGTATATAGCCTCTGCCAGGAAAGTCCTACTCACTGCCTTCTCGTGGCGGGGTTGTCGTTTGCGAAAATGAGAGGACGAAAAGCGAATGTCCGGCGCTTTAACCGGATCCCAAATCAATGGTGCACATGAGCTCCAGTATCCTGAAGGAACAAATGGCGTATGAACCAATCGTTGGTCACCGGCTACCATGGGACTGCATCTCGTTACGATGCTCCACTGCCTTGTGGGTCAGACGTCCAGGTCGAAGGCTCGGGGTGTGGCCCCCTAAGAAAACCACCTGCTTCGGTCTGGGCACCCGGGCAGTATCATAGCCCTCACACATATCAAATGAGATTTGTGCAGCGCATATGTATTTGGTGCATCCTTGTATCAATATCTATGTGTTAAAATAAATAAATAAAAAGGTTATGCGAAAACTACTAATCAACAGAAATCCAGTTGATGCAACAGTACTCCCACGCGTTAGCCTCTAGTTTAAAGTCTAACGTTTAAATCTGTTATGTCCCGATAAGAATAATGAGTGGTAATTTTTGGGATCCATTTGTGGACCAGTACTATATGTATATTCTATCGTATAATTCTTAATTAACTAAACTATTTATATTTATGTCTGTCTTATCATAGGTCTTATTTTAACCTATGAACTGTTATTATATGATTTCCCATTCTTGATCGAGTTAGCTGAGTCGGGGAAAACGGACCAGAATAGCCTATCGAGTCTCTGAATCCCTGATTCTTCGTTCCGTTCCGAGTAAGACGAATCAGTAGTAGCAGTCAAGCGTAACGAACTTAAAAACTTGATGGATGGCTACGGTGGTTTTTTTCAATTATGGACCCTTCCAAACTTGAACTGTTACTTGAACAGCAGCTGAAATTGATGCAAATGTTGACGGAGATCAAGGTTACGCCTCCATCACAGCCAAGCACGTCTAGTTCAACCACGGCACCATCAGTAGATGTCATTGCAAATAGTGTAGCTGAATTCCATTACGATCCTGATGCTAATCCATTGGGGTCTCCCCGCGTGGGTTCGAATCCCATCCCCAACAAAATCATCAAGACATAACCAAATAATTATGAGTCAGCTTAAGGTGTTGCTGAATGGACATTAATGACATTGAGATGGTCCATTGAATAATCGAGATATTTGATTGGTTCTGTGGAAAGAGGAAGTTTGGATTGTATCTCTATATATGTTCATAATTATCACTTTTGCTTGCTTATGACTGCATATAAAGTGTATTAGGTATGAGAATACTAATTCAAATTTAGCTCATCGGCGCGATCGTGATAAATGGTATGTTCAATGAAATACTGTGGTCGTTGAGAATGCTATCTAAGAGATCACTGAATTATCAATAAATCTTAGTGGCGAAAATATTTTTTAATCCATATATAGTAGTGTTTACTGGACTAATACTAGTTCCAACAACACGTTGGTCATCATGAAACGGTATGATATCTTTCACCTGGTTGATGAACTACTACTGTTTCTGCCTCTTATTTCTCATTGCTACTTGGGATAATCAATTAGTTGGAATAATTTCTTAACTTTAGCCTGGATATGCATGCATACAGTTCCTCGTTGATTTTATAACCTGACAATAAGATGGTTAGTTTATGATGTGCCGGATGAGATGAAATTATGTAAGTATCATAATTATTTCTTCCATTATTTACTACTCTCCTTTACTCATTTTTACCTATTTAACAATTAGTTTTTATTATATTTACTCTCCTTCATCTGTCCTTCACGATTTCACTCACTTATATGTGCTGCGCATATTTGTTTTAGTCCCTGTTTGTAGCAGTATTTGTGTATTCAAATAAAATAAGTTTTCAAAACCTTATCTCTTTTAATTGGAATGCGTTGTGGCTTTCTAATTAGATGAATTTAACTACATTTACGTAGACATTGATGTATTTTTAAAAACTGGATGACATCCCCATCAACCATTCATTGTCACTTTATTATTTTACTGTTCACTATAAGTCTGAATAGGAAATTGATATCGGATATTGGTGAAATAAACTATAATAGATGCAAGGTAAGCCACTGCAACAGATCCTGACAATTTAACCTCAAACATCAGTAATATTGAATAGAATAATAACTAATTTTTAGGAGCTGAATGTAATTCATTCGGGATTTTCCTGATCACCGGTTATCTCAGTTCATAGTACCTACGAAGAAACTAGTTTAAAGAATATGGTGCTAAGGCAGTGCTCAAACGAACGTACGAAGTTTTACGTTGTTTCTGACTGACTGACTGAGGGTTCAAACTAAACGATACCGGTTTTGTGAGTGTCATATCAAATTAATATATCGACGTACCGAACGATTTTCTCCATAATATTATTGATTTTGTAAGAGCTTGTAGTGAACTATCATCTCACTAGGCTTATGTCAAATAGTGTATATTAGGTTTGTTGAGATTAGTTACTCATTTAAATGTGTTTGATATGCCCCTTAAGAAAATCTTCATCTGACTTTATAGTGATTAGTCTCCAACTGAGACCCTCATTGACTTGAAGTATGTAATTAACATTGTTTTGTTTGCTGATGATGCCTCTGAAATAATTGTTTTGAAAATATTAAAAATTAGATACGTCTCCCTCCCAATAGATCTTAGGTGTTCGCTCATACATGTTTCAGGAGGACCCCTTGAATATCATGGAATGGCTTCTCAGTTAGCTGACTGTGAATCGAGATGTGTCTTCTCTACAAACATAAATATAGCTTCAACACCAGTGTGTTTCAATATTCAATCTGGCCATATAGCCCCATGTGGTGCATATCTATTTATTTGGACACGAACATTGGTAGGAGGGGGCACCGAATAGATATGTGCCAAACGACAGCAATGAGGTTGGAGGATGGGCATAATAAGAGGAGATCAATAATAAGCAGAGATTAGTGTTTGAGAGCGAAATAATAATGATGGTAGAAGCAGTTCATTTTGTAGGAATACAACCACAAATAATTCTTTCAAGGAAGGTACGTCCACTTTTATGAAGAAATTTACAGCAGGATAGCTACTTACTTCTATTCTGAGCCATGTGTGATAAGGTGCCTAGCCACTATGTTGCATCATCTCTGGGGCCCCTACCGGGGTGCCAACAAAAGCACTGTACAGATTTCCTTCATACCACGACACCATGTCGTGCACCGACCACCTCTCCACTTTTCTCAACCGGTCCCATTGTAAGCAAACAATGCACGATGTGGAATTCTCTGGGACGATATTATTAGGACATATCCAATCCACTGAAGTCTGTGACTCAAGATGGTGATACTAATTGAATTGTCGTCGCTGTGCCCGAACACACAATGCCGAACCTCTGCATTACTAACTTGGTGTTGCTACTAGATGTCCACAACCCTTTAGAGACAACGATGACCAAACACAGAGTCGTCTAACATTCTCAACTCGGAGAGATGAGGTTTCGCAAACAGAGCAAAACTGCTTTCACCGACGCGTTGTAGATCCGATCTTTTACAGCCAGACTAAAATCACTAAGGTGTCAAAGATAGCTCATATTGGCACAAGATGCTCTGGATTTCACTGTACACGAAATGATCTCATCACTCACATGATCAACACTTTCGCAGCTACCCAGATACACGAACGTCTTGATTACTGCTATATGTGTTTGAAGGTTTTTGTCTGTTTTTCGAAGGTATTTGTCTCACAGCAGTACAGATTGTGCTTCGCATGACTGTGTAATGTAGATTTTGTAGGTTGGAGATATGTATGCACTCAAATTATTCGGTCATATTTCCATTACAAACATTCCTCTCACATAACCTAACGACCGAATTGGCATGGATCACTAAGTAAATGTAGTACGTCAGTTGCAGTTGTAAACTCAACAGTCAAGTTTAAGAAATTGCGAAGGTGGACAGTGAAATGCCAACAGTTTTGGAACTCATTGGTCTGAGTCGTGTTGGGAGGTGAATACTTCATTTTTAGGGTGTAAAAGGTAACCGTACTCTATAGCGAAAGACTTTGATTAGTATATCTTGAAATTGATGTGTGCCATGTCTTCATTCTTTACCCTCCTCTACGTTTGATCTAAATGCCATTCCTTACTTATGTATGATTGAATAATGGGTTGCTTTTTATTGACAATTAAAGTCGATTTATTTTTCATGTAGTTACTCTTAACCTCACGTGTAAGATTACCATACTTCATTTACTCTCTATGATCCCGAGTTTAATACGTCTACGTAATTGGGGTGGTTAAATTATTCCTATCAGTTATACTTCAGTTTACTGCATTCAAAATGAGTATCTCAAACAAACTCTTTCTGTAAATTTTCAAAGAAGCTCAGTTGGCTAAAAAATGTATTTTATCTAACATAAAAATAATGGTAAGCTTATAGTAAAGTATGCTGGGCTTGTAACTGTATGAGCATTCAAATCTTACTACATGTAGTTCAACCTTAAAAGTCATACCTTTTATACATATCTTAGCTCTGACTTATGAAAATTGGGTGCTAGATTCTAGTCAGACATATACTAACTAATTCATTTTATTTGATAAATAAACTGCTGTTTAGTATTTCGTGGGCATTTTGGTGAATTTTATTCAAGGTGTACTCAAATTCGGCAAGTAATTAATCCGACGAAGATATGGAATATACCATTTCCTCAGCTCTGATAAATTTTAGAAAAATGTACTAAAGTACAGCTTAATTCTTATATGAAGTACCGAAACGTAAGTCCATCTTTCAAATTGCAAGTGCCATAATCTCTTAGATAAGAATATTAACAGCACTCTCCAAGTTATTGTGTGTTTTTGAGCACCATATTGATCTGAATTTAGAATCACCTTGTTGATAATTTGTGATACAAGAAGTAGCTAGTAAATGTTTGAATCAGGCAACGAGTTTTGCATTGAAATGGTGAATCAATCAATACTGAGCAGGATAACTAAAATGGCCACATGGCATTGCGATAGATTTGGTTGACATTTTGTCTGCT